TGCCTCAGAAGAGCGTGAGACTTTTGAGACTTGTCACAGAAAACTGTCAAACTTTAAGGACTTGCTTCAGGACAGCGTAAGACTTTTGGGACTTGTCAAAGGAAATTGTCAAACTTTCAGGACTTGCTCTGAAGGGCGTGGGATCTTCGGGACTCTCTCCAGAGGAGCGCTCTTACTGATCGGGCGTGGGAAGATCGACAGCTTATCCGGAAAGGGCGACCTTCAGTGGGCCCTCCAGTTCTCACGACTCAAATTACTCTGTATCGGATTTTCGGCAAAGCAAGACGACTCTTTTCTGCGTGGTGTTATAGGGCATCAAAGTGTTATGCGACCAGCTACACATCACGCACCATCCATGGATATTAGTGGGTGGTGCACAAGCCTTTACGAAGGTATTCAAAAACTGTTAGACAAAGAGGCATTATGACGAGTTTAGATGTACGCTCTCCTGCAGCTCTACTCACTCTTGAAAACTCACCACTGCGATAGGCAATATTTTTCCCAAAGGTTTTCGCCAGGGAACAATCTTGCAGAGAATGAAGCCTCTCGGCTATGTTGTCCATCCAGGATTCCTGGCCCTTCCTGGACCAGAGCGATACTCGCCTTAGAGGTTAGTTCTCACTCGAAACCGGTCGAGATCGCTGAAAGAGAATCCATTGCGCACAATGGACCCTAGAAGGAGATTCGTGACCTTCTACCTCGCAGTATTTCTATATGTCGCCCGTAGACCTGCGCGAATTTCCCGCTAGACAATCGGTGACACAAAGCTAGACTCATCACGAGACTCTCTATTGAAACGCTGAACAACTTCTCCGAAAGCGGCGCCAGAGTGTCTGCGTTCAGCAATGCACACATCGCAATCTAGACTTGCAAACTCAAACAAGGAGGCTTAAGAAGCAGCCTTCACAACTTAGCAGTTAACTCCGGCACGATCTTGTATAAATCACCAACCAAACCATAGTCGGCAACCTGACCTTAGCAATCAGACCGTCACCAGTACATAGAGGCTTACCTGGAAGATCGGGGCCTCAGCGTCCTTATTGATAGCAACGATGCACTTCGAATCCTTGATGCCTGCCGTATGCTGGATAGCCCCAGAGATACCAATGGCTATGTACCTGCAAAGGCACTCCATGCCTGATTCTATTAATGAGAGATAGCACCAAACAGGGTACTTCCTTAGTAAAGCAGAAGGACCATCGAATCGATTCCTTATACGGAAATCACAGTTCCTGGATGATGTGGGCGAGCGAGATGAACTTACAACTGAGGCGCCACCACCTTCCCTGTCTGTCCAATCTGCGAGTCGTTGGAGCAGTACCCAGCATCGACGGCAGCACGTGTAGCACCCACTGAAAAGGTACCAGCACTGA